AAAAAAAAAAAAAATTAGCTGGGTGTGGTAGCATGCGCCTGTAGTTCTGGCTACTTGGAAGGCTGAGGCAGAAGGATCACCTGAACCCAACAGTTCGAGGTTGCAGTGGCCGGCAGCGTGCCACTGTCCTCCAGCCTGGGTGACAGAGTAAGACTCCAACTCAAAAAAAAAAAAATATGTAATGGGCCTGTAATCTCAGCACTTTGAGAGGTAGAGGCAAGAGAACTGCCTGAGCCCATGGGCTTAAGACCAGCCTGGGCAACATGGTGAGACCTTGTCTCTACAATAAATCAAAAAACTTAGCCAGATTGTGGTGGCGCACACCTGTAGTTCCAGCAATTTGGAAGGCTGAGGTGGAAAGACCACCTGAGCCCAGCAGGTCAAGACTGCAGTGGCCGTGAGCAGCATGCCACTGCACTTCAGCCTGGGCAACAAAGTGAGACTCCGACTCAAACAAATAATAACAATAATTAAAATAAAATAAAATGTAATGTGGGCCAGGTGCAGTGGCTCATGCCTGTAATCCCAGCACTTTGGGAGGCTGAGGAGGGCAGATAGCTTGAGCCCAGGAGTTCGGGACCAGCCTGGGCAACATAGTAAGACCTCACCTCTACAAAAAATAAATAAGCCAGGCATGGTGGCGTGCACCTGTAGTCCCAGCTACCCAGTAGGCTGAAGTAGAATGATCACCAGAGCCCAGGCGGTCAAGGCTGCCATGAACTGTGATTGTCGTGATCATTAAAAATAAATAAACAAAAGGCCAATGAGGTAAGTTTGCGGTGAGACTTTTCAAAGGAGCCCCTGAGGCTGTGAGAGGTGGAGCAACTTAGGGAAGGTCACATAGCTAATAGCCAGGAAGACACCAGGGCTTCCGTTCTTTCTCCAGAGCCCTTATTCTTTCCACTTTGTGTGACTGAGTGGTGAGTGACAACTTTGTGGGAGCTCTCCCTGAAGAGCAGGGCAGCATCTCCTGGGGCCCACCCACGGGGAGGGGGTTGTGCAGACCCGGGACCCACCTGAGCTGTGGTTGGGCAGGAAGTGGTCCAGGAAGACCGGCTTTTTCTTCCGCCGTTTGCTCTCAATGCCGTGAGGATCTGAGGAAAGGGAGAGATGAGGACCCCTGAACCCCAACAGCCCTTGCTCCCCAGTCCGGGGTGAGATGGCAGGGCAGCAGGGTCAGCCTTCCCTCCCCCCAAACCTGGAACGGGTGTGGAAAGGGGCCGAGGGCACACACCAGAGCTGTTCAGCTCCCCAAGGACATCGGGCAGCCCCCGTTTCCGCTTCTTGTCCACACCATAGCTGTCTGTTCGGGAGATACCAGGGACATATCAAATGTAATCCATCAATAGTAATAATTAATCCGTAATTAATCACAGAGACAGTTAGGGGGTTGTGATGCTGTTCTAGTTCTTGACCAGCAATGCAAAATGACGTCCACATCCAAGTCAGAACAAAACCCAAATTTGCTTCCAGCCACTCTGGTCTCTTTCCCATTCCTGGAGCACCCCAGGCTCACTCCTGCCTCAGGTCCTTTGCACTGGCTGTCCTAGCTATTAAAACACTCTTCTTCAACTCCCACCACTACCCCTGGAGAAATGTGTAATTATCTTCCCATCCTCAGTGCAGCTGTCCCCTCCTCCAGGAAACCTTCCCTGACCCCCTTTCCCTTCCCCACCTTTGGGCAAGCCGAGCCCCTTGGGCAACTCCATCTCAGTCCTGCCAACTCTGGTGATCACTGTGTGTACTATCCTCCACACCCCTGCCCTCAGGACTATAAGCCTCATGAGGGTGGAGCTAAGGGCTGTGTCAGTCACTACTATGTCCCCAACACCTCCCAGCATAGGGCCAGGCTTGAGCAGGCATGCTGAGGGATGATTAAATACTCCCCAAATGCCATGAGATGGGTACTATTTTTTTTTTTTTTTTTGAGTTGGAGTCT